TGTGGTTAGAGGTGGTATAGTGCATGATCCCTAAGCTAGTGATCTTTGGAAAATGAACAAGTACAATCCATATGTAAATGGCTCGAGAGTTGTATTATTTTACAAGCCCTCCCCACCAAAAAAGAAGAAAATTGTTGCCTTGGGGAAGGCAAAGGTTGTCCTAGTTTGATTTAGATCTTGTCAATGTTTTTTTCTTAATGTTCTTTAGTGGTTGATGACACGTCGCGAATTTAAGCATGACTCATTGTATATAAGTTGATATTTCATTGATACATAATTTACAAAGAAAAAAAATTATGAAATGTTCGTTAGAATGCACTTGCAAGGGAGCCTCCCTTATCATGTCCAAGACCTAAGGTCCAAACCTTATCCTCCCACTTCCCAAGACATTGATGGAAATAACAGGTCTAACTTTGGTTGAATATTGTTTACCTTGGAAGTTTGACAATGTTACATTTCTTGCCCAAGAACTTACAACACTAAGGAAATGGCTCTTAAATCATATCACAATGGTATCATACATGAGTAGTATTGTATTTCTCATTGACTTCTAAATTCTCATTCTCATACCTCCCTCCATCGACACCCATTGTATATTCTTTTTGCTCTACCATATATAGTCATATAGATGATGAATTTATTTTCACTATGCAATTAAGGATAAGGCTTCGGTATCTTCACCATGTCGAAAAAAGATTCAAAATGTTAATTTTAGATTTAAATAATCTAAACTAATAAAATATAAATTACAAACTTGGGTAGTTTTATTTGGCCAACAAATAAAAAATAGGGTGACACTCCCCTACAACTAATAGAACTCTGGATGATTTTGCATATTCCTCCTTTACATTATCATTAAAGTGCACAATACAATCCCGTACACATGTTGGTATTGTCGATTTCAAATTTATTATCAAAATATTGTTATTTTTAAACAAAAATTTTAATCTATCGCACTTTTAACTTATTTACCGACCTACTGCAATTTTTAAAAACAGAATTGTTGATTTTGTTCTCAAAGTGAAATCGTGTTGAAAGCGAAGTCAATAATTTTATTTTTAAAAATTATAGTACAACGATAAGTAAGATAAAAAATACAATATATGGATATTTTTATTTAAAAATACCTGTATTTTAGTAGTAAATTCTGCCAATTTCAGTGTTCCCACAACCTTCCACACAAATTATAGATTAATGATGCACCCTTTGTTTACTGAAATAAAATTGAAAAACTTTTGTGGGGTCAGCAACGCCAATTAATGTCTCTTCTGCTTACAATGAACAAGACAAACAGGTCAACAAAACCGGCCTCCACGTCCCCCCCCCCCCCCTCTCTCTCTCTCTCTCTCTCTCTCTCGCAATAATGAAACAAGATTAACGGTAGAATGATCTATTCTTATAATGACCAGAATGACCTTGGCATTAACACTAAAGCAGACAGTTACGTTCATGCGGATTTAACGCCTTAACCGTCGGTGGGGGCCAGAAAAGTAGTGGCATTCTTGTGAATAAGAGAAATCAGAATGTGTCACATGGGCATAAAAGTAGCCTTTCGGAGCTATTTAGTAGCACCAGCAGTGGCAACAGAAGGCTAGCTGAGTATCCTAATACTGTGGAAGCCCAACAAAACTGTCGGCAGAGTGCTCTCTCTCTCTCTCTCTCTCTCTCATTGTCTTAACAGTGAAGTTCCTCGGGTTCTCTGTCGACGGTGTTGGTGGTTGAAGTGGTTGCACTGACCTATATATATCTGACCCACATTATGGAGGGTTGGTGCTGCTTTGGCCAATTTTTTAGGCTCTGCTTCTTGGTGGTGGTGGTGGGTTGCTCTTGGGTTGTTTCCGGCGGGCCTCTCCACCGCGTGTCTGACCCACATTGGTATCCCGCCACCGCTACGTGGTATGGAAGCCCCGACGGCGATGGAAGCGACGGTATATCTCACTCACCATACCCCCGTAGATTAGAATACTCCAATTGTTGCTTTGAAGTTCATACTGCATTCTCTCTCTCTCTCTCTCTATCAAACACACACATACACACACTCTCTCATACTAGACATACGCCCACATTCATTGTTTTTGTGGATAATACACACCCACGGAAAGTTAACTTAGCACTGGACTCAAAAAGAACCCAAAAAGAACGAGTTTGTTGGAACTCGTTCCAAATTTAAAGTTAACTCGGCTGTTTCAACTCAAATCTCCTATCCCGTGTTTTCACGTGGGACAATGCTATTGGACATAATTGAACACTTAGTAATTATACTTATTAAATTATCGGTAAATTTTAACGTATTTCAATATCGATCCAATAGTCACACCCTAAATTATGTACATAAACAATGCCAAAGTCAGTTGTATTTTGACCATAACTAGGTAAAAAAAAAAAGGGAAAAAAATTTTAGATTTCTCGTTTTTACTATCGTTGATTTTTGTCTAATTTTTATTTAATTTACCTCAAGAATTACAAAGAGTAATTTACTTTTTATTCAATTTAATTGAAAATTTCAGGTACTTATGAATACATTTTTAATTTGGGTATTTGTCATTGTTGTACAGGTGGGGCATGTGGGTATGGGTCACTGGTAGATGTGAAGCCATACAGAGCCAGAGTTGGAGCAGTGAGTCCAGTGCTGTTCAAAGCAGGTGAAGGGTGTGGAGCCTGTTTCAAGGTCAAGTGCTTAGACAAGTCAATATGTTCAAGAAGGGCCGTGACGGTGATAATCACCGACGAATGCCCCGGCGGGTACTGCTCTGGCGGCCGCACCCACTTCGACCTCAGCGGCTCTGCCTTCGGACGCATGGCTGTTGCCGGTAACAACAACCAGCTTCGTGACCGTGGAGTGCTCTCTGTCATCTACCGCCGGTGAGTTATATAGTTGTCTTCTTCTTTGGTTCTTTTTCTGTTTTGTCAGTTTGGGCTTATTGCTTTGTTAATGAATTGGGAATTATTTTTGAGATTTTGGACTAACAGCCAACAACCATTTACGAAAGACAATGACCCTTGAACTGACTTATCTTTTGGTCGCTTGTTGATGGCATTATTGTCATTTCATACAAAATGCTTTATGTTTTTTCTTCCATTTTTGGTATTATATTAATGTTCTGAAAAAAGAATTAACCCGTCCTGGAAAAGAATTAGTTGAGAGATGCATTAGTTAGCCTTAGTAACCTGAACCGTTGAACTAAAAAAAAAAAAAAGATTAACCCATCTAAAGTATTCAGACACGATACAAATATGGTATGATGCGATACAATAATTCTCATCATTAATGGTTGACCCAATAGCGATTCAGTTGATATGTGGTGATTGGTATGTTTCTATGCAATTTTAGCTCAAGAATTTACTGAGATTTTATTTTTCATGCAATTTTGTAGGACTGCTTGTAAGTATCCAAGAAAGGACATTGCATTCCATGTGAACGAAGGATCAACAGAGTTCTGGCTTTCTCTTCTAGTGGAGTTTGAGGATGGAGATGGTGATGTCGGATCAATGCATATAAGAGAGGTACTACTTACGTATTTTTCCTTTATTTTATTTTCATTAATTTGATTCATTTTCTTCAATCTCTTTGGAAGAACAAAACGGGATGATTTGTTTGTTATTTTGCCTATAGCATGACTTTTTGCAACATGTTCTTAGACAATTTTAGTGGGAAGGACTCTTTAGTTTTAGCATGATTTGGTAATTCAATAATAAAATTTCCGATATAGGATTAGTCTTGAAAAGTTTGGATTATGAATGATCAAGTTGATCAATAATACCCGTTTGATCGATAAGTGAACACAAATCTGATTATACTTGATCATACATAATTTATAATACATGAAACCCAGATTGAATCGGACAAATTCGACGTTATACAATATAGGCATGCATTGAAACCGATAAATTTGACAAGACACAATCTATTACGAGCCTGTAAAACGATGGACCTAGGACCCTACCCACCCTACACCGTCTATTTGGTATCCAAAAATCTCCTAAGATTATATACTATTCACGACGTGACTCTTACAATTATGTAAGGTTTTGCTCCTCTAGTTTTTTGTACTGTCACAACTGGCCATAAAATGTTGTCGAAAACATTTTCACCCTTACCTTAGTTACCTGGTTCTTGGATCCTTCCTTATTCTATCTTTTTACTTTTGTTTTCTAGAAGTAGTCAATTTATGTCTAACAATAGTAAAATCCCTTTTTCCTCTGTCCTAAAAAATGTCCGTAACAACCGAAAACTTTTGATTATCATACTAATTAAAAATAGATTCTAGTTATAGACGACAGTTGATTGATTGCAGAAACAACAAAAAAAAAAACATCATAGAAGAACCAAACTTTACGTATGTCATATGTTTATTAATATAAATGGGATATTGTCAAAAAAAAAAAAAAAATCTTTGGGGAGGTACATCTTCTGAAGGCATGCAACTCTCACACTAACCTAAAAGGTGCGCTTTTTTTGTTGTTGCTTTGTATGTGAAAGGACCTCTTTTAAGTCTTAAACGTGGCCAAAAGTCTTTGAGATGTACAACAGTGCTTTAGAGGACTTTAGTCATATGAAAACAAGGGTGGTTCTCAGATTCAATAAAGAAAAAGTTGTTCATTTCAAAAGGAGGATGGGCAGCTCTGAATAATGAATATTGAAGATGAATTAGGTCCTTCTCTTCCACCCATTGGGCATTGTGTCAAAAGAACTTTTTTTTTCACAGCCTTCTCTTTTCTAGTGATCTATTGTATAGAATAAGTGCCACTTCATGTCCCCCACAATGTAATAGTATATTTATAGGGAAATATTATGGTACCGAATTTTTATCTTTCGGTATTATACTAAAAAAGTAAAATAAAAAATCCAATGAGTACCAAGTTTCACCCAAAAGTGATAAACTCCAATTAAAAAATGTGGAAATTAAACTCAAAAAATGATAAACGAACTCAAAAAGTGAGTGCACCTCAAAAAATGATAAATATTCAAAAGGTGGGGTAAGTAATACGGTATTCAGGGTGCGATCATACCAACACTAATGCACTAGATTATATCAGAACTCCGCAGTTAAGCGTACTTGGGCGAGAATAGTACTAGAATGGGTGACCCCCCGGAAAGTCCTCTTGTTGCACCCCTTTAAAAAAAAAAAAGTAATACGGTACCCAAAAAAAAACAGTAGTTCAATTCCTTTGAAGTAATTGTAGCAACATGTATAAGTACTTTATAATATTTTCTCTCTACATCTTTCCTTTCCTCCATTCTCTATGTCTCCCACTCATTACTCACAAAGAAAAATAATACAAAAAGAATGAGAAATAAGATTTAAAGGAAGTAGTTAAAAATATAAAAAAAATTGTTGGAGTGTGTATTAAAAAAGTGAGTAGTTAAACTAATTTTTGTTGTTAGAGATGCTCTTAGAGTGGAATTTAAAGATAAAATAGCTAAATTTTAAAATTTTTATGTACTTTAGCTCCTCTATTGGAGATGTCCAAACTTAAAATCACAATTACTACTCTCAATTTCAAATTTGTATTCACACAATTGTTAGTTGTATATTTTTACATATATTTCTCTCCCTTGTATAATTTTTTTTGGTTTCCATGATTTATCTGGATAGACAAGTTCTACTGAATGGCTAGAGATGACCCATCTATGGGGTGCAACTTGGTGCATTATTGGGGGACCCTTAAAGGGACCATTTTCAGTGAAGCTAACCACACTGTCAACATCAAGAACCCTCTCTGCAAGAGATGTCATTCCAAAGAATTGGACTCCAAAAGCCACCTACACCTCTCGGCTTAACTTCATTCCTTAATGGGTAAACTTGGGTAAGTTACACGGATCCTCAAGCCATATATTTAGTCTTATTTTGGTCGCTCAACTTCGATTCTGTTATTTTATTTCTTAAAAGTTCTGTTCTTCTTAAATCACCTGACTGTGGGTTACTGTCCAAATACCTAATGGGACAAGGGTTTTGTGTCTTTTGATCATGACTTTCGCATATCATGTCCTTTAATTGTTCGGACGGAAGTTAGTAATTGAACCATTTGATAAACTATGTAACAACTTTAGATCTAAATTGATCCAAATTGAAGTTGAAAGATCAAAATAAAACTGAACGCATACTTCGAGATCACTTGGTGTAATTTACATTAATTGTAACTTCGACTCTTTGGCAGATAGAAGAAATGTACAAGTCCCCTCTTAACAGGGCCTGAAGCTCTAGTAGTCCCCATGACACCAAAAGTAGCCGTTGTCGGTTGGGATTTTCAGAAGAAAAGTAGCCGTTGGAGCGCATCAAGGCATCCAATGCTCTTTCCTTTTTCTTATGTTTTGTTTCCCTTTTCTTTTTGCTACTTTTTGCATTGTGTGAACTGTTTTTAAGTGTTGAAGCTGTAGCCCTCTCCAAAGGAGAGTGAGCTGTCTGTCATCTTTTTTATGTGGTGTGGGTGAGGTATGTTCTATGTGGATTGGTCCTTTGGTTTTTAACTGAGTTTGGACCAATGAATGTACTCTTATGTTGTTTGATGTGGTGACATTTATGGACAATGTGGGACCGTGTTTGTCTTTTGTTATTCATATTTAGTTCTGTGGCATGTAAAGCAAGTTTTTTCTTCTCAACAGGTAAGTGGATTGGTGGAGGGTTTGCAAATCAATAAATGCAACAGAGGATCAACATGCACAATATTAATACTATTTCGATCTAATCTATTACATAATTTATTGATTAAATCCATTATAATTATTGAATTAGTTGCGAATCTCAATAAATACTAGTTGTGGATCCTATTACAATCAACACAACACGACCAATTGAGATAATGTGTGCGCCTATGACTACTATAGTACTCCTATGTTTGGGATAGAGTTTGTAGCATGGTGTTTCTTGAAAAATAACAAAACTGCCTTTACTATTTATTAGACTTGGAATAATTGTGAGTAAAAGGAGATACTCAAATTAAGAGTAAAACCCCGTACATATAGGCAAAATATAAAAATCATAGTAAGGGTAAAAAGGGGAAAAGAAATCCTAATAAACCTAGGAAAAGAAATCCTAATAAACCTAGACTATCTATACTCCAACACTCCCCCTCAAGCTAGGCGCAAAAATGTCAACTAAGCCAAGCTTGACAACGGAGTCCCGAAGAATAGACAGAGTGACAGGTTTGGTAAAAACATCCGCAACTTGATTACTGGTCCCCACAAACGATGGAGTAACAAGACCACTGCTGACCTTCTCCCGAAGAAAGTGAACATCGATCTCTATATGCTTCATTCTCTCATGTAGTACAGAGTCAGAAGCAAGCTGAATAGCAGATTGATTATCACAATATAATGTGGATGGAGAGGTCACTGAAAAACCCAACTCGTCAAGAATCGATCGTAGCCAGATAATCTCACATGTGCCAAGTGCCAATGCCCGATACTCTGCCTCTGCGGACGAGCGGGAGACAACTGTCTGCTTCTTGCTCTTCCAAGAGATAAGATGAGTCCCTCGAAAAGCACAGAAACCCGTAGTAGATCGACCATCACATGCTCCCCCATAATCTGAATCTGAATAACAGGTTAGAGAACCGGTCTGAGATCCTGATGCATAAAACAACCCAAGTCCAGGACAAGACTTGAGGTACCGAAGAATATGATAAACTGCATCAAGATGAGGCTGACATGACCTATGCATGAACTGACTAACTCGGCTGACTGCGAATGAAATGTCCGGCCTAGTATTGGCTAAGTAGATAAGTCTACCTACCAATCTTTGATAAACTGTCGGATCTTTCAACTCCTCACCTTCAGCAGTAAGCTTCAGGTTTGGAATCATAGGTGATAATGCCGGTTTGCACCCCAACATCCCAGTGTCTGAAAGAAGATCCAAAACATACTTTCTCTGAGAAAGAACAATACCTCTGCTTCTACGGGCAACCTCAATCCCAAGAAAGTATCGCAGAAATCCAAGATCCTTCACATCGAAGGCCTTTCCAAGGTCTATCTTGACCTGCGCAGTCCCAGAAACATCATCACCAGTAATAATAATATCATCAACATATACCAGAAGGATGACACACTGTCCAGAAGTATTCCGTCGAATAAAGCAGGTATGATCAAAATGACACCTGGTGAACCCCAATCGTATGACTACATCACTGAAGCGAGAGAACCAGGCTCGTGGCGACTGTTTCAGTCCATAAAGAGACTTACGCAGTCGACATACCTTTCCAGCATACTCCCCCTCACCACGAAAGCCCGGTGGTGCATCCATATAAATAATCTCGTCCAGATCACCGTGAAGAAATGCATTCTTCACATCTAATTGATGAAGAGGCCAAGAGTACTCCGCAGCCAGAGAAATAATTAACCGAACAGTAGTCAATTTTGCCACGGGGGCAAATGTAGCACCAAAATCACGACCTGGTACCTGAGTAAAGCCCTTCGCCACAAGTCTAGCCTTGTAACGATCAATAGTACCATCCGCAAGAAACTTCAGGATGTAAACCCAGCGACAGCCAACAGGCTTCACCCCTGAAGGTAAGGAGACAAGATCCCATGTATGATTACGCTGAAGAGCGTCCATCTCTGTCTGCATGGCAAGAACCCAATGGGGCTCCCGCATAGCTTCCGAAATAGAGCGAGGAACCAGCGTATCTGATAAGGCCATAGTATAAGCTCAAAATGTGGGAGACAGATTACCATAAGAAACACATAAGCAGAGATCGGATATAAAATCTTTGCGGTCCAACCATATCGATCAACTGGACGGCGATCACGCCTTGGATAACGACGCCCTAAATCACCATCCTCTACTGATAATATCTTATCAGGTAAAGTAACTGGCTCAGCACCTGTAATCTCATCAGTACTAACAACAGGTGCATCAATATGCTCAACAAACTGAGAAGTATTACCTGCATCGCCTGAGGTAGAGGGGATATCAGCAGGGTGATGAGAGCGAGGACAACGAGCATACACCTGCAAAGGAAGAGAGACTGGTAACTCTGTACTGACAGGGATGAGTGACTCCTTTGGAGGAAAAACGGATGACCCTGTAGGGATAGTGATCAATGACTCTGACTCTTGTGGTAATGGAAAATCAAAGGGAGTATCATCAACTGGAGGGGCAGACAAAGGACTGAAAGGAAAATAAGGAATATGCTCAAGAAAGGTAACATCTAGACTGTGATACATACGACGCCTAATAGGATCATAACATCGATACCCCTTAGATTGATGACAATAGCCCACAAAGATACAACGAATCGCTTTATCATCAAGTTTATGACGAGTAGGAGACCGATCCTGAACAAAACATGTGCATCCAAAAACACGAGGGGGGACCGGAAAAAGTGTCCGCTCAGGAAATAAGACCTGTAAGGGAGCCTTATGCTGAAGAACACGACTCGGCGTACGATTGCACAGAAAGGTAGAAGTCAAAACAGCAAAATGCCAATAAGATTTTGGTACCCTCATGCCTCTAAGCAGACAACGTACCATCCCTATCAAACTCCTATTTTTCCTCTCAGCAACACCATTTTGCTCAGGAGTATATGGACAAGTGAGTTGCTGAAGGATACCCTGAGAAGAAAGGTGAGACACTAAAGCATCAGACACATATTCTTTGGCATTATCCGAACGAAGAGCACGAACAATGACATCGAATTGTGTCTTAATCATCTGTAAAAATTGAGTGATTATAGGGAGCACATCAGACTTCCTATGCAAAAGGTAGACCCAAGTACAACGGGTATGATCATCTATAAATGTCACATAATATCTGGCACCTGACAGAGCAGTAACGGGAGAGGGTCCCCAAATATCAGAGTGTATTAGGTCAAATGGCTTGGGTGACTGGTGCATGCGAGGAATATAATTGGCCCTAACATGTTTTGATAGGGAACAGATAACGCAATCAAGTTTACCACCAACACAAGCATTACTCAAAGCAGGAAACAACATACATAAATATTTAAAATTTGTATGTCCAAAACGGTCATGCCACAATTGAACAGTTTGTGACGAAAAATCATAACGACAACTACTAGGTAAAATACTAGCATGCAAGCTAGGAACAGAAAAAGACAAAGCAGGTGCAGGTGAAGGAATTGGTGAAACTGGAGATGGATTGCCAAGATAATACAGT